CCCCAAAACCCCAAAACCCCAAAACCCCAAAACCCCTTTTAAATAAAAAATATTTGAATAAAATTATTTAAATTCTAAATGTCAGTCAAAGAAAAGCTTCTGAGAAGGATCCTGATTGATGCAGAGTTCTTCCTCAACAACATTGATGGAGATGACCCTTATGATCCAGTTGGTGATGCAATAAATGCAGGGCAGAGGAATCATCATATAGATGCTTTAGTATCTGACATGAATCCTGAAGGTAAGAAGTCTCAATAATTCTTATAAACTTTTATTTAGAATACAAGAAAGCCAATACAGGTATAAATGAAGTAAGAACAACCAAGTAATTGTTTAGGATGATCCAGGACTAGGAGAAGATAAGTTCTTTGAACTCATTGCAGAAGCAGAAGAAATGCTCAAAGCTAATCTTTTCGAAAAAGAGACCTTTAGGATTCTCTCAAGAGAGTGCACTATCTTGTACATTGAGCTAGCCATTAGAAGTAACAGAAGAGATGAACAAGCTGAGGACATACTCACATTTTTCTTCAATCACACTACCTGCGAAGATCAATTCTATTGCAGAGCTTTGCTTGCTCAAGCTACAGTGGAGTTCAGGAAGATAAATAAGCAACTTCTAAAAGCTGAAGTGAATCTTGAACAAACCATGAATGCATGGGAGTATATTCAAAAAGCTTTGGATATCATCACTAGACCTGAGAACAAGTCAAGATATGAGTTCTTGATCTACAATGCCGCTATAACTACTTATCAAGTCCTTAGACCCCTCAATAAGCCAATCTGGTCTCAGCACTTTGTTGCAATTCTTGAGAAAATTTCAAATTTGCTTGAAGAAAAGGAGGATGCTGATTTCAATCTCAGAATAAGATTCCTGAGCTGAGTATCGAATGCTTACCTTGACGCTGAAAAGAAAGCTGAAGGACTTAAATTTCATGATAAACTTTATGAACTAACCAAGAAGGTTAAGGAATGCTCCTTCCAAGAAGTTATGATTAGGAATAGAATTCATATCTACAGAGATAACAATGGACAACTTGGAACTATAAAGAAGGATGCTGAGACTGGCTCTGATCCTCATAATATCAAAGCTTTGTGCACAATTCAGCAAATAAAATCAGACTGTATTCCAGAGAACCAGGTTGAGAAGGAACTGACTTCAGTTATGGCCTCTCTTTCTCCCGCCTCAGTAGCTCTAGTTGAAGGAGCCTCTGGAGAAGGAAATGAAGCTCAAGTCAACAAGAAATTGAGTAAGTACGATCAGGATAGAATGGCTGAAGCAGGAAGGATGGCCATTCAATATGATTTAATTGCTCTCTGAGAAGGTGCATGTAATGTCATATCAAGGTCAACTCAAGGAAGTCTCAGAGCTAAGATTTGGACAGAATACAATAAAGCAGAACTTACTCTAAAAAAGAAAGGCAAACTGATAGATCCCCACACAGGAATGAAGCTTAGCCTACAACAGCAGCAAGATGAAGAATTTGAAAGAAGGATTGAAGCTTTGAAGATTCTCGAAAGAGCAATGGTAGCAAATAAAAGCCTTGGAGACCCTGATGTTATCATTGAAGGTTGTGTCCTTATCTGGAACACTGCTATCCCACTTCTAAAGTCTTCTACAAGAGGCTATGTCTATAAACCATTCACATCAGCATCTAATATGTTGGAGCTTATTCAAGCTAATGAGAGCAAGCTTAGAGTGTGCCTCTATCTGGAACTCGCAAAATTCGAAATTGAGCAAGACTTCATCTCTAAAGCTGAGGAACAAATCAGAAAAGCAATGCTAATAGATTACTCTTTGGCTAAAGATACTCTCCAAATAGAGCTAAATGAAGATGATGAGCCTGGAGATTTCCAAAGAGAGTTTGAAAGAGTTCTCACAAGAATGAAAAAGTGTATTGACCTCAGACTCAACATTCATGGAGAGCCTGATACTGAGATTGATCAGATGGTTTTAGACATTGAAAATGCCAAAAGTACAGGAAATATGTACCTTAGAGAAACCTTGCTTGATAAAGTCCTTCAGCAACTTCTAGAATACACAGAGCCTGAGTTTGAACTCACTGATGAACAAGAAAAAGACCTAAACGAAGAGCAGAAAGAGCAAGAAAGAATAAAGTTCTCTAAAGAACTACTCAAAGAGAAGAAGCAAAGAAAACATCTTGCCTCAGAGATTGCTGACCTTGCATTTGATGCTAACCTTATTGAGCTAGCCTTTGAAGCTGGGAAAGAAAGTATCAAAGCGGAATGGGATCCTCATAAGGACTCAGACCTTGTAATTTCACAATGTAAATCAAATTATATCGTAGCCCAATGCTTTGTTGAGATGCTTCTGGAAGAAGAGATTGAAATTGGATACAATGATCTCATCACTATTACAGAAGACCAGGATGAAAGAGAGTTCACAGAGGAAGATCATGTTAAATACCAAGGGTGGAAAAAGAAGTTTTTAGAGCATATCCAATCAGGTGTAAAATTGGCCATGTCTACCCTACAACCAGCACTTATTTTCAAAGGGGCCATTATATTCTGGAATAACTACCTTCCTATCTTCAAAAGACTTGACTACTATGATGTCGTGCTAAAAGATGCTGTACCTGTGATGCAGGAGTGCTTTGAAGGTATGAACAATACTTTCACTACTACAAATTTTGGCACTGGAAATATTGACTACAACCTCAATTTGAAACTGAACGTGTTTACTAACTTTTCTCATATCTACTGCAGAATCCAGGAGAAGGAAAATAAGGACGAGTCACTAAGAGTGTGTGAGATATTGCTTGAGAAGGATCTTCCTCCTCATCTTAGAAAATTATTCGACACAATTAGAACCAGAATTACTAAACAAGCTAAAGGGCCAGAGAAGAAGGATAAAGGTAAAGGAGGTAAAGGAGAAGCCCCAGCTAAAGAACTCACTGAAACAGAGATGATTTCTGCCGAAGTTATTGGTTTACTAGAGCTGATTGCTTCAAACCTTCAGTCTGATTCAAATGCTGCATTTAATATGGTCAAAGAAGCTATGGAAAAGCTTACTCCATGGAATCCAAATGACAATGAAGAAATAGAGCTTGAACTTCATGCAGAGTTGTGGTGTAGATTGGGAAGATTATCAATTTTACTCAAGACCACTGAAGCAGCAAAGATAGCTCTGTTTTGTGCAAATAAAGTCTTGAATGGTATACCAAAAGTCAAAGAGCAAAAGATTGAAAACATTCCAAACACAAGACTGAGATGGTATTCTATCGGAGAAGGGCTTTTTGGAGAAGCGATAGCTGGACTTGTTGATGAATCAGTACAAGACAAAGAGTCAGTTATCCGTTGCTCTGAGAATCAAATCACTCACTTTGTCAAAGGATGAGAGCTTGCTTCAAAAGCTAATCTATCATTTGTCCTTCTTGAACTAGCTAAACTCCTATGGAATGCTGTAATCCCCATGCTAGACTCAGCCTTTAACAGAAAGAAGTTGATTACTCCAATGTCAAAAGTCCATGAATTATTGATGAAGGCCAAAGAGAATAATGATCCTGACTTCCTTGTGCTCTTCTACCACGGAATGTTTACATGAGTGACTGAGCAAAAGGAATGGAAGCTTGGTGAAAAGATGGTGGATGAAGCCTTCACTTATGTTCCACAGACCCATCAGAAGGTACTCTGGGAAGCCAAAGCTCTTTATCTCTCCAAACTAGGAAAGAATGTCTTGAATGCTATCTCCAACATGAAAGAGGGAGATGCCACTCTGCAGGCAAAAGTGTGGGTCAAACTGGCAAAGATCTTCAGCGAACCAGTAGAACAACATATGGCTTATAACAAAGCAATCGAGATTATGAACAAAGAAGAAAGTGCAGAAGTAGTTGAAATCCTTATTGACTACGCTGAATGGCTGCACAGAAATGAATACCCCACTCTGGATGTGGAAGACCAGCTCCTCCTTGCTGTAGATGTTCTGCTTGATCTCGAACCTGGATGGGATGAAGGAGAAGATGATGAGAAAGATGAAGAAGAGAAAACCAAGACTAAGTCAAGAAAATCAAGAGGTAGCAGAGCTTCCAGAGTTTCTAAGGCTAAATCAAGAATGTCCAAGATGAGCAAGAGAACAGGAAAATCTATCAGGAAATCTGTTGTAGGAAAAAGTGCTGTAAGTAGAGCTAGCAAGAGAACAGCAATGTCTAGAACAACCACGAGAACTAAGAAGACCACAACTGCTTTGAGTAAGAGGGAAAATGAAGACCCTCAGCCCTTATTCATGAACGTGTCTCACTTTGATAAGCTTTTCAGGATTCATTCGATGCTTACTTATATCTCATATGATCAGAAAGAGATAGCCCTTGATGCTCAGTTCTTTATCATGAAGATCTGGGAGTTGTCCTATAAAACACTTAATGCAATGAATTTCCTAGAGAAGCATAAGGATCAGGCTGAAAAGCTTGGATTTAATGATCAAAATCCAGAAGCAAGGTCAAACTTCTACAACGAAGTATTTACTAACCCTGAAGTAGAAATTCCTGAATTGTATACCTCTCCGGAGACACCTGAAGGTTGGATTAGCTACGAACCTCAGGAAGAACTTTTAGAGATGTGTAAAAATCATGAAGATAAAACAATGATTGCTAAATGGGCGTTCCAAAAACCTGAAATAACTTTGTACCACATTGTCCAGATCATTGATCTTTTGGAGGCCCATTATCTACATATCCAGATGATCCCAATTCTGAAGTTTGGAAAGGTATTCACCTCCCTTGTAGTAGAAAATGAATACTATAAAGATATCTTTGAATTAAGACTTATAAGAATAACATATGGTTTTGGAACTGTCAAAGCTAATTCTGAGATCACAAAGAGCATGCAAAGGCTGGCTCTGACAGAATCGATGAAACAAAAGCTAATACAAGAGAATAGTTCAGGAGGAATGACTGCCAAACCAGACATGAAAAGTAAGGAAGTCAACTTCCCTACAGTTGACAAGAAAGATCCCTTTGGTATTGAGAAGATCAAGACTCACGAAGTCTGGAAGGAAGCAGCCAAGGAATTACTCAAATTTGGAAATTATCTTCAAGCTAAAGATTTGATACTAGAATCAATGCTTCATGCAAGATTGCTCAAAGAACAAAACAATTACTCTGAGTGCTTACATTTGCTGAGCAGAATTGCTGAACTTGAAGGACAAAGTTCTAGTGCAATTAAATTAGGAATGTATTGTCTGAATTACGCGAAAGATATCAAGTTAATCTGCAATTCTGTGTCAACCTCTCTCAGACATTGCATTGCTCTGGGAAATAATGAAGCTAATATCTTAATGGAGAAATCATTAAATCATTTCAAGAGAATTAGAGCTACAGTTGATGATAAAATGATTGTGCCTGAAATATCTTTTGCATTACAACATGTATACTTAGACTGAGTCCATTGGGAAGTCATCCAGCTTGATAAAATTGGAGATGATATAGAGGCGAAAAATGCAAAACTCAATGAAATCTCAAGTCACCTTGACAACTATGATACACTTGTTCATCAATCAGGCACAAGGATAGAACATGTTTTAAAAACCTGTGAGATTTCCAAGCTATTATACCAATGCTTGGAGACTAACAATAGTTTTAGTGATGAATCGATCAATCACTTAGAAACAAGACTTGAGAAGGGAGCTAAGTTATTACTCCGTGCTCAGGAGCACATTACTTCTCAGGTACCTTTACTCCCTAATAGTCCAATATCTCCTTCTTCAAGATCTATCTCGCATCCTCTTAAGAGACTCTTCGGAATCATAAAGCTCCGTTTGGCTCAAGCTAATTGTGAAATTGGTGTTTTCAGGACCTCTCTCAAGACCCAAGTTTCAGCAGAAGGTAGCCAGAATAAGAGAGTTATTGAAGATCAATTCCTTGAACTCATCACTAAGCAGATAGATGCTCAAAACAGAAATGTCAAGGTTGACCTGAGCATCTATGAAAAGAGCATCGTCCTCCTAAACAACGCTATGAACTTGCTAGACTCAAGATGTGAAGAGTACTGAGAATGTGTCGTTGAAATTGCGAGGTGTAAAAGACTCCTTGCTTTTGAAAAGAAACATATCAGAAGTGTCTGGCGCCAAGACGCTAATGAAATCAATGATGCCCTCAACGAAAGTCTTGTCGATGATGAAAAAGAACCAGACGAAGACTTTGAAGATGTCAATGCTAACTATAAGGAAGAAGCCATTAAGTCCTTTGTTGAAATTCTTTCTAATCTTGGCCTGATGGCAAGGATTATAAGTCATTTTGATCTTGGAAGACAAAATTTACTGTCAAAATTAGCTCTAGAATATGCAGAATGTAAAGGAAATACTAACAAAGAGCAATGCTTTGCATCATTAGCTCTGTATCAATATGCTATTTCAAGAAAAGAGTTGTTAGATTTCTTCATTAAAGCTTGTGATTCAAACCATCCTGATCTTCTCAGAAGAATGCAAGTTGAAAGAGCCAAGACTGAGTTTAAGAGCTATAGCTCTCCTGAGTTCCCAAAGGTGATAAATGAGAATGAAAAGAAACTTTTTGAAGATAGTAATGGCTTCAAAAATATAAACGCTTCCTTTAATTTCACAGAGGAGATCAAAAAGACTCTTCCTCATTCAAGTGGATATCTGATTCTCCAGTTTTCCAAAAACATGCAAAGTCTGTATGTTGGATTTGCAAAAGTAGATAAAGATCAGAAATATGAATATTATCTCACAAAACTCACTTTGTCAGATTCAATTATAGAGGAACTGAATGCCATTAAAGAAAGAATAGTCTCTCTTCATAGTTACATGTACAAAACTCCTATTACGATCCAGGAAGATTTGGATATTATAGAGAAAGATGCTGAGGAAGAGCTCCAATCTATCATCTCTCAGACCCAAGACTTCCTAAAGCCTGTCTTTAGCCAACTCGATGGGATAATTAATCCTGTTATAGAAGAAAATGAAGGGGAAGAAGATAAAGAAGCTCCTCCAGAGCCTAAATAAAGGAAAAGATGCTGCTAAAGATAATAAGAAAGGAGCTAAAGATGAGCTTCCAAAATATGAAAGCAACCTCCCCCTTCCTACCTCTGGGATAGAATCTATGGTATTGCTTCTTGATTCAAGATTGAGTCCTTTACCTATTGAGGCTTGTGAAATATTCAAATCCATCCCTGTATTGACAAGAGATTTCTCATTGCATATGTATACTAACAGACTAATGAATCTTGGCCATAAAGCTGAACTTCACAACAACAATGGTATTGCAAAGGATAGCATCAAGTACATTTACGATATTCCTAAGAGTATTTCTGAGAAATTTAAAGAAGACATTATTGATCAGCATACCAAGCTAGTCCAAGGATCTACTTGGAGTGGAGTTGAAACCTCTGACCATATCCCTTCAGATGGTGAGTGGCAAAGAATGCTGAAGGACTCTTCCCTCTTCACATATTTCTCACTGACATGTCTTCTGCATGTGTACTCTCCTGAGAAGCTATCTGAAACTATTAGCATTACAAACACCAATGCTGCTATTATATTGGACAGGATGAACTCCTTCAAGCCTTTGATTAACAAAGATGTGTTGATAAGTGAACACTTTAAAGAACAAGACCAGCCTGAGCAAACAGCTGCATTGCTCTCAATAATGGGTCTCAACTCAGTCCTGATCAACCAATGGGCAATTTGTCCAGAAGAGAATATGAGAATCTACAAACATGTTCTTGAAGAAATGGGGGTTAACGGAAAATATATTGGAGCTTCAGTCCAAAGGTAACACATACTCTTTTGATTTATAGACATGAAGAAAAAGTTACAGAGACCATTGAAACCCAAGAGAACCAAGCAGATGAAGTTATTGAGAAGAAGGTGCCAAGGAAGGCAATCTACAGACTCAATACAATTTGCTATGGAGTACCTCTGAATAGGATCAGTTAATTCCTGAGATTCAATATTTTGATTGCGAATAGGGGTTTTGGGGTTTTGGGGTTTTGGGGTTTTGGGGTTTTGGGGTTTTGGGGTTTTGGGG